ATTCAAACACTGGTAGAGGCCTTGCAATGAATCATCCTCGCTCATCTCGATCCCTATTCATTACCCACAAAAATGCAAATATGTGAGAAATAACAAAATAACTAAGAAAATAAACTAAACTAATAAAAAAAATAAAAGAGGAATGAAGTCACCTTTTTGCTCGAGGATCCTTCAATTACTTGTATCGTCTCTCCGACAGTGGCGCCAAAATCTGATTACGCCCAAAATATAACGCGGTTATTGTAGTATAGATTTGGAGTGTCGTATCCACATGAAGATGGAAAATAATCCAAAGAATCAAAAGCTGGGTTTTTGTTGTGATTTTATGTGAATGTATGTGTCAATTGAAATAGAATTCAAATAACAATGTATAAGTTAATAAAATTTAAATCAATGTGTGAAGAAGTAAAGCATCGGAATTCCCTCAATTAGATTGGGTCAATCAATGTCAATTATGCATGAATTTACTCAATTAAAGGTTTCTTCCTAACACTTTAATTGAAAGATTTAACATTCAAATCTATTCAATTCCATAATAATTCCCAAACCTAGATTTCTTTCAAAATAATTCCACAATAATCCATTGAAATTAGATCCAAAAACAATTATATACATCAAGCATATAATGGTAAAGAATCACACCAATAGGAGATTTAAGATTGAAATTCAATAAGTACTTCAATTGTTCGATGGAAAAAATGTGATTGAATCCATGAAAATTTAATACAAATTAAACCAACCTAAAAACATGTCCATTGGAATAGGAAATCTAAATCTAGAATTGTTTAACAATGAAAGAACATATTTATGCAAGAAAAGACATGAAAATTCTCAAATCTAACCGAATTCCTTCGTGGCTTCAGCAATAGGTTTAGTTTTCCATGAATTTCTTGAGCCAAAAACCAAAGAAAAGTGATAGGAAGTGAATGGTACTGGTTCTGGGATTTTTTGGGGCTTAAAAATGTGTACAAAACACCTTTCCATTATAGGTTGAACCGAATAAGGAAAGTAAATTTTTGGCCAGAATTTTCTGTGCGATTGCTTTGTGTACTTTGGCCATAACTTTATCTCCCAATGTCCAATTGAGGCGATTCAAGTTGCATTGGAAAGTTAACTCAAAGTGATACAATTTTACAAAAATAGGTCTTCCAAATTCGGATGTTTATTAGGCCAAAAGTTTATCTCAATCTTCGACTGAAAATCTAAAAAATCCTTATGCGATTGAAATTTGATTTGTGAAAATATTATGGGCATATTTAACTTTTTTGACTTCTAATTGCACCCAATGGACTCCTAAATTTCTTGAATCATCATTCCATCGTCCGTCTCATCTTTGGATTATTTGCAACTTGGTCCCTGAACTTTCATTTTGGTCATTTTTCACTCATTTCTTCCGAGTTTCGCCTTTTTCATCAAATTGCGACCTAGAACAAAACATAAGAGTAATGAGTGCATTTTGACATCAAATAATCATATTAATATAACAATTAAGAGGGAAAATATCATATATTACACTCTTATCAATAACCGAATTAGAGCCGTTGGATTCTTTATTTAAGACGAAGACCATTCTTAAACCCAAACTAAAGCAGCTAATTTGGCTGGATTCTTGTACAATTAGTAAAATTCAAAATAAAATTTCCCGTCCTTTATTCATTAAAAGTACCACATAATTGCATCTACGTTCATTCCTGTCCTTCCTTTCCTTTCTCTACTACTTTGTTAATATCTTCAATCCTCAAATTTAAGTTTATCTTTTCCTTTTCCTAAGTTTAAATGGTTGTATCAACTGAACGAGAAATGTTCCAAATAAATTCTTCATGGGTTATTTTGCATCAGATGTTATCGACTTCAAATTCATCGAAAAAACTCTGTAATATATTTCCCTATTTCAGCCAGAACGTTTATTTCTCCTTGATGGATCACTTGAAGACCATGTCCAGATTTTTGGAAGCAGACGTTTTTAAAGCCCTTAGCCATGTTTGGTTGAGTAGAGTGGACCAAAAAAGTTCAAAATCTTATCCATCGAGTCATTTGCTCAAAATCTTATCCATCGAGTCATTTGCTCCAATCCATTAGAGTGTACCAAACATGCCTTCAAATTTATGGCAGAAAACAAAGGATATGATCAATAAATGTGCAACAAAAACACCCAGAATGTGGAGCATCACCAGAATGCAGCTTCTAATCATCCTCTTCCTGCCAATATGTTTCAAGTATCTTCACGGCCTCTTCGCATATTTCACTGTCGTCATGAGTCTGGAGGTTCTTAATAAACTGTAAACCCCCAGCATCATCAATCATCTGAGCAAAGACATTCACATCTTCGGGATGACCTTGGTTCTTCTCAGCTTCTCCAACCTTCAGAATGTTCTCAAGGCCTTCCAAGCAGATTTTTATGACATGCTGTTCGTTGGGATTAACTAGAAGATCGCACATTGGCTCTATACAACCCTCGTTCACCAGGAACCTACCACAAAGATGAAGCATTAATAATCAACCTAAATGTACAATAAGCTATGAGAATATGACAATAGCTATGAAGAATTTACTTGATTTGCTCATTAGTTCCCTTAGTCGTGGCATTATAGATGACCTCAGCAGCAGCATTAAAAATTTCGGCCTCTTGAAGCAGTGGAAGAAGAGGTGAAATAATACCAGCCTCAATCACAGCCTGTGTATTTGTTAGATAAATTGGTGCATTATATTCCATTCACTGTAATACATGCATGATTTTATTTGCTATTGACATGTAAATTATTGAATAATATTTTGACTTACCAAAATCTAGATAGGTGCATGAAAAATAATAAAAATTACGATTTACTAACATTTAGGAAAATGCAGAAATTAGAAGAAGATAAGATGAAACGTTATCTGTGAATGCAAATTTCCTTAAGATGAATTTCACCCCGACACTACTGCTAATATGATCAAATGAACGCCAGTCTCCCAAGATACAATGCTCCTTTCATAATTAATATAGTATAATATTAATTTTATTTGACTTACCAACACTTGATCACACTCTTCTAAAACAGAAGATGTTGAATACTAAATATCAATCAGAAAACTCAAAAAGTAATTAGAAAATTATTTTGATATAATTTGGAGAAGAAAAGAATTAGAAATTAATTATTTGGAATAGATTTGGATTGAAGAAAATGAAATTAGGAGGATCGAATTTTTAGATTTCATGTATTTTTTCGAATGATCGCATTTTTTTGGCACAAATTATTTTAATCTCACCATTTCAAGATTAATGTTCTAGGTCGTGCCTTTATCAAATGTCATTACTCTTTGTTATGCATATTTGGCACTTGAAGAGTCGAACCCAATTGATGTACCTATAGTTGAATTTTTTTTTTCAATTCACACATTTTAATCTTTTTATATGCCCTTAAATCTCAAAATCTCCCATGTGAATGGAAGAAGTCAACTCAGAACAAGAAAGACGAAGAAGAGTACCACTGAAATATAATGCATTAGGATCGAACTCACTTGACTAACAAGCAAATGCAGTGTTTTGACCATTATTGTAAGTCTAAACAATAGATCGAAAACATTATATCTCATATCAAACTTTGATTTTCTATTGTGTACATTATTTTGGCCTTGAACCTTCTTGATTCTGCTAGTGCGTTAGAGAATTTTCACAAGTAAAACTCTCATAGAATTGGCCAAATTCACAATATCATAGAAATGGGAAGGAATTAAAACTTCGAAGTGCTTTTCATTGAGTCAATCTTAGCAAATTTTCCTATTGAACCTAGTTCGTGGGATCTCCCGTTGCCAAGTTAGGTTTCCACTAAACCGACCCATTAATGTAGGCGTTATACCCATTTTCCTCAATGCACAATTTATTCACTCTCTAGATAACATCTTTATAAACAGATTCGGTAGTTTATTTTTCGATAAAACAATCAGTATTATTCCATTCGAGAGTAAGTACCAAATGATATTATGCCTACAACTTATACATCAAAACTTACCATTATAATACACGACATTCTATGCCAACATATTGTGGCTAGCTATCTCAAACAAATGATATAGCAAGCACAAATTGTCACCAATTAGAAAACCCTTCTAAATTCTTTGAAGTCATCATGCTTCCTTCTAATTTTATTGAAAGCTCTATTTTCTTTCAATTCTCACATTGTATTGAGGATTTTTCACGAAACAACTCCACTCTCAATAATGAAACATATTTTCTAGTAGATTTTGAATTCTTGCATTGGATATCCAGCACATCTTAATTTTAACAAGGTATTCACTACGGTGTAGTTTATCATTTTAAATATTCCAAATTCTAATTTGAAGGAGCAATGCTACCCCCAAGTCTTGGGGTGCGACCTCACTTTAATTGATAATATTATACAAAATAACAATCATACCCCTACAATTTTGAATAAGACTCAACTTAGCAATATAATATTTGTCTAAGTATGCATATAAAGTTTGATCACATCGATAATTATGTTTATCTATCTAATAAACAATTTTATTCTAAATGTAGTCAGCATATAAAATGACTAGGAATGTCAATGTCATATAAAAGCTCACGTGCATTTTCATATTAAAGAATGTCAATTAACAAAATAAAAGTGAAAATTCATCTTTTAAAAAAAAAAAAAAAAAATTGCAGCCTCGCCCAAGTTTAATTGGGCATACAGAGATATGACCCAAATTGAGATCATAAGTTGCACCACGTTGGACGAGACAAAAAATGTGCAAAATGTTGTTCAGATTATAATATTGCAGTTAGAATAAATTATTGACTGCAGAAACAATAGAACAAATTATATAAAAATGTGTGAAATAATGAGTGAATGATTTGCAAACCGACGCTTGTATATACATAGTTTCCTTAAAACAGATTCGATCCCTGACTGTATGTACTTGATGTTTCACCCGAGCATATGTTTTCCAAGATACATCAGAAAATCAGTAGAATCTGAGCACTGCAAATGCTACTCCAGCGAATAGTACTTGTGATCGAACAATATAACCAAAAAAGGAGGAAAATACCAATTTCAGCAAATTCGATATGCAACATGCAAGTACGATATGAACACAGTGGAAATCCGGTATGCAGTGTGCAAATCCGATATGGAAACAATGCAAATTCGGTATGCTATGTGCAAAATTGGTATGCAAGTCACAAAAGTGGTATGCATGGCATAAAAAGTCTATTTCTCCTATTGTGGAAAAAAGGTTCAAATATATAGATTTAACCCCCATAACGGGCGAGTTAAATTTTTCCATCAGTTATGCTTTGCCATTAACCTAAATTTTAATGATAAATAATTCTGGAGTTTTAACAGTTATGAATTTAAAAGGTCAGCTTAAGAAAGCAAAAAATTAGCAAAATGTGGACAATCCAAAGGGACCAATTTTGCTCTATTCGGTCCGACATTTGTGTACGCAGGTCCCACAGCACACAAGTTCAAGGCTCGATGTACAATTTTGATTCTTGATTTGCACCAGCTGCATGCGTACGTGGAGAGAACATCTATGCTACACATGATTACACATTTTCAAAGTGTAATCCTATATAAAGTGGTTTTTGCGTTCATCAACTTCCTATGTGGGACAAACCTTAATTGGTTTCCTCCAACACATGAACTCCTTTTTAATTGGCATATTTTGAGCTCCAATTTCTCATTCACCCATTCATAAATTTTTTCAAGTGAATATATGATTTTGATGCTTTCATGGAGGAGAACTCGGATCAACTTTGATCTTCCAAATTGGACCAACGGGTCCCACTCAATTTTTATGCCAAAATCAGCCATTAACTTATTTTTTTCCAACACAAAACACACCATACTATTGAGAAACACTATCCCACAACTTTAGGTTACATTTGAAATTAATCATATAGTGTGCACAAAAATTATGCTACATAAGCCAAATCACCAACATTCACTTTCTCTAAACCCATCAGCCTAGTGACATTTCACCAGTTGAGTTCCTCGTGGATACTGCCATTTGATTTATCTTTGTGGTTGATAAATGAAATTCAAGAAATTGCACTTCTTAAAAGAAGAGACATGATGGTTAGCCACCAAATTTCAACGAGAGCAGTTAGAATACAAATAACAGGCAATGCTTTATTCCTCCCAACAACCCCTTGCCACTTCTCAAATTCTGTAATTAGAGAAGCGTAAATAAATTTCACTACTAATGCATGCATATTTTTAACTAGAACGAGTAGAAAATCAGAATCCAAATGCTTCACTATCTTTTCAGTTTACCAAGAAATCGAAGAAAAATTAAAGAGAGTTCTTTCACATACATTTCAATATACAGAACATATCTACAATATCAATTCCAGAATTAAGAATATGTTCTTGTCATGCAATAAAACGTTTAAGTAAACTAGTATTATGTATGTATAATGCACAATAAAGTAATCGAGTAATATGAAAGAATAATGCACGAATAACAAAGTCAAAAGCAAACACAAACTAAAGCAGCGCATCCACGTAAACTGATTTTGACATCAGTATTATAATTAGCATGAAAATCCATCTTAAGCTTGTTCGATAAATTGGTGCATAATTATATTCACATACATGATTTAAGTTGCTATTGACATCCAAATTATCGAATAATATTTTTGACTTACCGAAATCAAAATATGTGCATGAAAATTAAGTAAAACAACGACTTACTGACATTTAGGAAAATGCAAAAATTAGAAGGAGATGAAATGAAGCGAGACATGCAAATGCAAATCTCCTTAAGATGGATTTCACCCCCTACACTACACTGGTGCTAATATTTTGATTATAGAGATCAATCTTTGAAGATCCAAACATCCTTTCATTGATTCCTTGATTCAACCACAAGTTGGGAAAAGCATCAAAATTACGTAATCCAAAGCACTCACTTCCTACACACATACACGAAGATACTTTCTCAATAACTTTCAAAGGTTGTTAAAGATTGAGAGAGATTGGACCAGAAGTACAGGAAGGGTACAAGAACAAGGTGTTCTTGGTGATCTAGAGGAGATAGACACTTCCAGAAAATCGAGAACAAGTGTGAGTGAAACATGTTCCAGCTAGTTTTGGAGATTGCAGGAATTAGATCAGCAAGTTTAGTGGGATTTCTAGGCTGGATAATATTGTAAGTTTATATTGTCTATAGTGGAGGTTACTAGTTTGGTCTCGGAGTTTTTACTTAATTGGGTTTTCTCCGTCAACACATCTTGATTTATTTACTACTTTATTTGTAATTGTGGTAATGCAACATAGGATTAACTTGACTTGTTTAACTAAATATCTAAAAACAATTAAAAAGTGACTTGTTGCTTTTAATTGTATAACTTTGCACGTTGGGTCTAAATAAATCGGCTAAATTAGAACTTTTAGTTTGTCTCCTCAGATACAATGTTTCTTTTAAATTTAATATAGTACAATATTAATTTGTCAGACGAACCAACACTTAAATATACTCTTCTAGGACGGATTATATAGAATATTAAATATTGAACACGAAGCTCAAAAAATAATTAGAAAATTATTTTGACATAATTTGGATAAAGAGAGATATAGAAATCAATTATTTGGAATTGATTTGAATTGAAGAAAATGGAATTAGGAGGGTCCAATTTATAGATTTCCATATATCTCTTCCAATGGTCATATCTTTAGGCTAGAATTAATTTTAACTCTTAGATATCACAATTTCAAGATTGATGGTCTACATCGCACTTTTATCAAAGGTCATGACTCTTTGTTATGCACTTGAAGAGTCGCACCCAATTGATGCATTTATTGAAGACTTTTTCCAATTTACCCATTTTAATCTTTTTATATACCTTCAAAGTATTAAGATGGCATCTCCTCGGCTTCCTTGACTTTATAAGATAAACGGAATTTAATGGAAGACTTCAAATTAGAAACAAAAACAGAAAAAAAAAATGTCAAATTCTTCAAAACAGAGTTACTAATACGAGAAATTGGTGGAAACTAAAAACTTTGCTGTAACATCATTCCTGCCCCCTTCGCCAATTGATACTTATTTATCTCAAAGCATTAATTATGAATGCATAGAGTAATACTTATTCCATAGTAATTTGCATACCTGAATATGATCCTTATTCCGTCCAATGATTTTTGAAATGATATAACAAGTGTCCGTCTTGTAACTGTCTGGGTAATTTAGTGTCAACACCTTACACAGGCGAGGAAGAACCCCATTATCAATGATAAGCTGGAAATCATTCAACAGAAGCAAGTTTGTAAAAAAAGGTAAACATTGGTTGACATCCTTAATTACAGGGTTAGCATTAAACTTCTTATTAGAGTTCTTAAAAATCGGTCAAAGATTATAAGGATTAATTTCTCAGGATGATACTTGAAGCCACCCCCTTGGCATTTGCAAATTCAACTAATGAGTTTCAGATAGTAACTTTTGAATTTTGTACAATTTTTGGATTCCTAGAGATGGTATGCGCTTCAAACGTTTTATAAGCATTGTACCAAAACTGAACATATATGGATCATGAATATGACAAAAGCAATGAGGACTGAAGCTGTTCTTCTAATGATTATTTAGCAATAGAAGCAACAAGACTGTATTTGCAAAATGAATATATCTGAACCATGAATGATCAAGCAATGCATTTTTGGCTTCATTGACAAGGACACCCCTCTCCACCTAAGGTAAATATAATATACAATGACTGTTAAGTATGTAGACCATCGGAACTGCTAAAAGACAAAAAAATGGCCTGCCATATACATCTTTTGTATGAAACAAGCAAACAAGAGTTGGTTGTGTATGGTAGACATTTGATGGACTACCATTGGAAAGGTGAACATATCACATAACAAATATTTAATGTGGTCAAAGGAAGTTTTCTAATTAAGGTTATGTACAAGAGTCAGCTGATACCTGAGTCTGGGTATCATCTGCATATAAAATAATATAATCAACGATATGCAGGACAGAAGACCAAATTTCTGATTTACAATGCCTGCGAACCACTAAACCAAATAAGTATGGGTATGAAGTTCAATAAATAAAAGCAAAGTAAAAACTTAAAAAATGGAACTATATCAAGTAGGATTTTTTCACTGACAGTAAAAGCTCAACCAAACGAGGGAAAAGACCAGCATCGATTACAGCTTGTTTTATATCCGTTTTCCCAAAAGTTAGACAGAATAGTGCCTCGCATGCATGCCAAAGGACTGCTCCATCGTTTTCAAGAATCAGATGAGCAAGAGGACGGATGGCAGATTTCACCTGCTCAGTAATATCCTGAAGGAATTGATTAAATATATAAAGGTCCAGCATTATTGATATGCATCAAAACCGAACAGAAAACCAATAAGAAGACAAACCTGCTCGAACGGAGGCTTTCTAATTAAAAGAATTGACAATGTCCTCGTTGCCACAGCCATGATGTATTGTTTTGTTTTATCATTAAATTGTGCCAATAAGGGCGTTAACACTCCAGAACTAAGGACGAGGTGACGATATTTTGCTGATTCAGAGGCAATCTTTCCCAACACCTCAATTGCCTAAATTAAATAGTCAGGCAATTCAAAGTTCGTATTAGTCTTTATCAATTTGTATAAAGTTGGACTAACATATCCCTAACATAGGGATGCTATTATGTCATTTACTGTTAAAAGGTATTGCCCCTACACGACTGAAGAAAACGTAGAAGCAGAGCCATGGAACATTGTCATTTTTGCACTAGTTAAAAGACAGTTTTTCATCCCAAATCTGCAACTTGACACATGGGTGTTGGCCGTCACTGTTTCAGCTCTAGTTTTTTTTTTAATAGGTAATCAGAGCTGTTTCAGCTCTAGTTGGGAAGGTTAGGTTTTAATCAATTTATATAAATATGCATTCCTCTAGTTTTCTCAACTTTAGATTTAGAGTGCTTTTTCCTTTTTGTTTTAGGTATTTTTCTTGAGCTAATACGTAATAGCATCAATCCATAGAGAGATTTAGAGATGAGAGGTGGAGTTTTCCACAGGGCGTATCTCCTCTGTGTCATCAACTTGTAAACCGTAGCGATAGTACTCCTAGTGCAGATGGAGTTCATCTTCCAGCGTTATGTCAACACGTTGAATAATGCTATGTGTTGAATGGTGTTTATCAACGGTCTACATGACCCATTTAATTGAACTTATAATTTAATGTTACCTATAGATTCATTGATGATCGTAAATGGTGATACATAGCATATTGGTCTTTATTCTTTCTTGGTGTTGGTGTGTGTTTTATATGATTCTTGATTTGATTGTAATCCTTAAAATATTTGCAACGTGATAAGGTGTTTATATGCACTTATTCGTGATATTTAAACTTGATAAATAATTTATATTTGAGTGAATTCTTACATAATTTACTTTAGATATGATAATTGTAGGTAAAAACCAATTAGAAAGCATTCATACAAAAAGGAAGGTTAAATTAGGTGTTTATATGCACTTATCCGTGATATTTAAACTTGATAAATAATTTATATTTGAGTGAATTCTTACATAATTTACTTTAGATATGATAATTGTCGGTAAAAACCAATTAGAAAGCATTCATACAAAAAGGAAGGTTTTTAGCTAATTTATAGTTGATTTGGAGCAACTGAAGATAACCAGATTGCACGAGGATCAATAATGAGTATTAAGAGAGAAACAGGAGGAATGTCGCAGGTTTCTAAAGTGAAATTCAACTTAGATGAATTTAGGAGACTAATTTGCACACTTTTGGAACTTAAGAAAGACTACTTATGGAAGATAGTTGAGGTTTGGGAAACAATCTGGAAGCTTTTGAAAAGTGTGAGATCAAATATTGATGAATTGGAGCAAAGAGGATCAATATCGAACAAAAATGTTGAAATAGAGACCAAAGTGCAACATACGAAAGTTAAGGGACTAATTTGGACATGTTAAATAGTAAAAGGACCAAAGTTGATGAGATAAAAAGCTGGAGGATCAAAATGAATAAAGCTAAAAGTTCAAAAACTTGGTTTACAATTTAATGTTGAAAAGTGAAAAATAATAATAAAAGCTTAAAAGAAAAAATAGAAAGAAAGAAATGGTTACATTGTTGTTAGAACCAGTTAGATTGGACAAAGTTTTTGTTGTTTCTACTTTTCTTGATCCGTTTTGAGTCATTTAGAGGCACAATTCTAGAAGCATTTTTACCACTAGATAAGAACCTCATTTTTTCTCAAAATGAAGGGGAAACAAAGTTCCAAAAGCCAAAAATTAGAGAAAAAGGAGAAAAATTAAAGGCAAAAAAATAGGTTTTTCAAGATTTGACGTTGAAGAAGACGATTCTTGGTGACAGGTCTTCAAAATTTTCTCATTTTTTCTTTTAACTCGATCATGTATTATATTTCTTTCTTGTATGTCTCTTCTTCCATGACGTGTAACTAAATTAATACTTACAATAAATGTTGTAACCTAATTTGAATCTTAATTTTAGTTATCGCGTGTTGATTTTTAATTGATACTTGTGTATTGTTCTTATTTCCTTTTTTATGACTTTGAATCATGTTGATCACGGACTCAATGATTTGTGAAAAGCAAAGAATCGAAAGACGGGTTATTTTTTTTTATCATGTAGTAAAATTCAAAATTTAGTAGGAAAGACACTTTTACTAACTATGTATTATTAATTAAATTTTTTTTGTGATTGATTGCTTTTGATTAAAGCATATCAAGAATCACGTAGGGACATGTGTACTTAATTCAGTAGAATTGATTTGAACTATAAAGGAGTAAATCAATTAATTTTAGAAGAATTTGATATGTAAGCATAATTAACTATTGTCGGGATTTGGTAATTAATATTAAAGAGATAATAATGGTGAACTCATGAATCCTTCACACATCAAGTATAACTGTGAATAGTCTATTTGTGACATTCTTCATTATTTTAATCAAGAGGTCATTGAGAGAAAATTCTTAAGGCCACTTTACTACCTATTTTATTGGCATCTTACATTTGCGATAAAATCACAAAATAACACTTACCCTTTCGCGAAGTTCATCCTTGGGAGAACTAAGAAAGTTCACCATAATGGGAATTGTGCCCTGTTCAATCAGAATGTTGATGTTGTCAACTGGACCAATTGAAATTTTTTCCATAGTCTCCGCTGCCTCAAGCTAAGAAAATGAATGACTCAATTTATTTAGCAGTTGAAACACATGAAATAAACAAGAGAAGCAATTAAAAGCACAAATTTAAACCTGAAGCTGCGGGTGATCATCTCTATCAAGGAACTCGAGGAGTCGAGGAACAAATCGAGATATTAATCCCTTCGATGGTGGTTTTATCTCTGTGGAAACAAATTAATTGAAAGCAAATGGAATCAGAGATATAAGAGAAAATAGCTTAAACAGTAATAAGATTTATTCAAATTAATTGGCTTCAAGAAAAATAAATTAATTGATTACCAATAATAAGCCATCTTAGCTGAGAACAGGCGCTGATTTGCAGTTCGTCGTCATTTGACTCAAGTTTAGCTATTAATTCGGCCTCCAATTCCTTGTTCTGTTGCAATTAGAAGAAATTAATAATGAAGTTTACATAACAGTTTCTATATACTAGTTCTACTCAATTAAATTTGTCCCACATAATTACTTGCAAGAACTATTTCATTATGCAAAAAAGACGCATTTTTCTTTCAAAATTGGTTTCCAAGAGAGGATTTGTGTCTTGTTTTTATACTTCTGTAACTAAAATGTGGTGAAATTATCATATATAAGCTGCAGTGCAAGTCATGCTTGCTGAAGCCAGCAGTTGATGATTTATGAGGTCACAGCGGAGGCATCAACTTTATGTCCAAGGGTGATGGAGCATGCTAGGGAACCTTTTGGATATATTTATGGAGAATGTGAAAAAGATACGGACTTCTCGAATTTTGGTATGATAATAAATTTAGAAAAACCCAGAATGAAAGTGACAATGAGCAGTACAAACACTATCCCTCATGTAAAATGATCAGAAGTATGAAAAGAGTACATGAAGTATAGTCTTTAGCTTAAGACGAGTTTATTTATTTTTTTCTTTTTCCCTTTAATTGAGGTCCGGCCAAGGGCCCTTAATTTTGTGTTTTTTTTCCTTTATTAGTAAGACAATTCTAGAGTGGTTTTGAAAAAAACAGAGAGAAAAGATGCTCATGCTTGCTAAAATTTTGTTATGAAGATCTATAAATATTCTTGAGATAGAGAAATGATCAGATACGAGCAACAATAAGTATGGCTCAAGGAATCGCTTTTACCTCTGGAAGGTTGAACTGCCTCTTGACACGGACTTGAATATCATTTCCGAAATTCTCTTGTTCTTCTTGTATCAGCTCTGCCGAAATCACAGCTGAAGGGCTAGCATCATCCAAGTCAATGATTTGAAGAGTTTGTATATCTTTAAAGCTAGGAGGGATCTCCATTAGTTTGGAACATCCCCTAAGCTTTAGGCACTCGAGGCATGTGAAGTTGGTGTTATTGGCTCTCCAATGCTCTAGAAACTTAGTTTCAAGTAACAGAAATTTTAGCTTGCAAAATTCTCCTTCGGGTAGCTCCCATTCTGGACTCCAAGTGACACTATCTAGCAGTTTGAGCACTTCCAGGTTGGGCATTGAACCAACAATAGTCATGTGTTTCCAAGCAATTTTGCAACTTTCTAAAGTTAACTTTTTGATATTTGCTGGGAAAGTGAAATTTATTGGTGCTCTAAAACGTTCTAAACCTCTAATGTTCAGGTTTTCAAGTTGAGGAAGATTAACCAGAATACCTAAAGGATTCTCATCGAAATAGCCACTATAAAGTCCTAACTTTTTTAGATTTGGAACTCTTTCAAAGACCTCCTTGGTACAGCTAGGACTACTCACTTTCGAAAGTGTTAAAAGGTTTCCTAGAACAAAATTCTCCCCAGCTATTGGTGATCTAGTAGGGCATGGCAAATAACACTTCCTGAACAGGAGATGCCTTAATTGTGTCATCCTCCATATTTCCTCTGGTAGATGTACATCGTCACTATCTACAATTAAGGTCTGTAGATACCCAAGAAAATCAGGTAATGTTTTAGGCATGGAAACTTTCCCATGACAGGGGAAAGCAAGGTACCTTGAGTGAACTAATTTTATTTCTCCAAATGGGAAACCCTGTACTTGTTGTTTAAGATCCAACACCCTAAGAAGTGGAAAAAGTTTTCCATTAACTAATTCAGTGATCTGGCTTTTGTCTAGGTCTACAGGGAATATGAGGTCGCCTTCAGAAAATGAAATTAAAATAGAACGGACTGATGGCAAGGATCCCATGGACTGGTAATATTTGAATTCCCCGTGAAGAATATCTGGACGAACACACAGGCGACGAGAATACTTTATGCTTTCAGCAAAAATGTTGTCTTTATCTCTGACATGAAAAAGCTTCTCATCCTGGGCCTTCTTTAAGCATAGGTCCCTTAACATATCATGGATGCCACAGGTTTTTATCTTTCCCCTAGAACTCTTCTTACTAATCATAATAAGATTTCTGGAAATTAGATCTCCCAAATATTCCACTGCCACTTCTTCCAAGGTTTTACCTGTGACTGGTTTTAGAAATCCCTCTGCAACCCATAACTTGATGAGTTTGGAGACACGGATTTCATCATCTTCCGGAAAAACTCCCATATAGAGAAAGCATGCTTTGAGATAATGAGGCAAGTAATTGTAACTTAAAGATAGTATTTCTGTGCAGTTTGCATCTGTTGAATTGACAACTGACTTGACATTTTGTGCAACATACTCCCAGTGATCTTTTGTCCTGTTGGCGTTTGAAAGGTGGCCACCAATCACGACAAGGGAAAGTGGAAGTCCTTTGCAATTTTCTGCAATCTCCTTTCCAGCTTCCTCCAGTTCTGGAGGGCAACAATCTTCCCCAAACACCCTCTGACGAAGTAGTTTCCAACTGTCAGTCTTATTTAGAAATTGCATATGATGGGCAGGTCTATGGGAGTCAACCACACTCAAGAGCCGTGTTGTCAACACGATCCCGCTTCCATTCCGGTCGTCTGGAAATATCCTTCTCAAGGAACTCCAAGCCTCGGTAGTCCAAATATCATCCAACACAACAAGATACATCATACCTCTTAAACTTTTATGTAGGTAATCTTTTAATTTTGCAGTATTGTTCTCTTGACGCATTTCGGCACTGAGCTGTTTCATGGAATCCAGAAGGTTCAGCAAGACTTCTCGCTCACGATATTCTTGAGAAATTGATACCCAGGCACAAATGTGAAAATGGTCTTTAATACGTGGATCATTGTAAACATTTCTAGCAAGTGTGGTCTTGCCAATACCTCCCATGCCAGTTACGGGGATGACTTGGAGAGTACCTTGATGTCCAGTGAGTCGATCAATTATTTGATTCAAATCATTATGAAACCCGACCATATCATTCTTGCCAATTGAAGGAAGTCTTGATTGTCCAGTTGGCAAAGAAGTACTCCTCTGGCTCTGGTGCACAACTGTTGCGCCCCACGATTCCTTAAGCTTAGCTGCCTTTGTCTCAATGGAATCAATTTCATCTGCTACTATCTCAAAGTCCACACAAAAATTTTGGTCTCTCATTTGTCTTTCTTGAAAACCTTCCTGGCCAAAATTCTTGGATATATGTGATTCGACCATATCTTCAGCTTTGTTCACTGCATCTCGAATTTCCCTTTCCAAACATCGTACTTCCTCGCTCCTTATCTGCCAAGAATCATCCAGAAAATCAAGTAAGAAACTCAACTTCTCCTGGAGAGATTTAATTTGTTGGTCCTGAAGAGGAGTTTGATGTTGTTCTAGAGGAGGATTTGATATTTGCTCCAGATTTTGATTGAGAGATAATACAGCATTGTATGCCATCTTTGACTTCAAAGAATCTGATTGAAAGATAATATCCCAAAATTGCAGCCTGCCTTAACAAGTGGTGGTTTTGGGAGGTGGAGGAATTGAGTGGAGTGAAGGGGTGAAGAAGACAACAATTACAGAGAGAAAAAGGAATGGATGTTCGTGTGAGTTTACGCGCATCTTTTTTTTTTTTTTTTTTTTTTTTTTTTTTTTTTTTTTTTTCCTTTTTTTTTTTTTTTTTTTTGTTTTTTTTTGTCTTTTTTTCTACCTTTTTTTTTTTTTCTTTTTTCTTATTTTAATCTTTTTTTTTTTTAATGGGAAATTGGTGTGTTTTGTTCCCAACTTTTTAAGAATTTTATCTTTATTTTGTTAAATTTCCAAGAAAATACATTAACGTGTATCCAAAGCATCTTGAAGTTGCGTGGTTCTTGATTCAACTGAAAATTAAACAACAAATTATCATAGGGGAAAATTGCAACTTAAGTCGAGATCCTATACACTTGATAGCAAACAGGTCCTCATTCTATTTCTTTTGGCATTCATATCCTTAACACGCCGTTCTGATGCACCGCAGTTCTTGATTGAAGAAATCCATTAATTAATTAACAATTAATTTTCGTAATACCTCCTATCCTTTGGTATCCCTGTGAAATTGGTATCTATTGCTACAATCCTCATATTCTTAAAGGCATTTCAACATTTGATTGCAAAAATCACTATTTTCATTCGCGTTTATTTGACAATTAGAAGGTTAATATTTTGATACAAAAAAAAAAACTGCAATACTTCTAATTTTACTTTAAAACTAAGAAAGGAAAATAATTATTATTTGTTTTTGTTTTGGTACTAGTTTTTTTATATTTAAAATTAACGATCAAAATATTGACTATTTAAACTATAGTAGACGGAAAAGTGATCTCACTAGTGGCAAAAGGTTGAAATATTGTTAAGAATGTCAAGATTGATATGATAAGTAGCAATCCAACAAGTACCCAAATGATAGGGGGTAATGTGCAAAATAGCTTTTATTAACATATTCAAAAGTAAACCTTTTTTTTTTTTTTTTTTTAACAAAAAAAAAA